TAGCAAAGGAAAGTGTCTCTTTCTCGGTTTGATCTCTGGTTTTGGAGCCAGGTCAGACATCTAATTAAGAAATAATAATAATAATAATAATAATAATAATAATAACGACGATGATGATGATGATGATCATCATCATCATCATCATAAAATAGAGAAAGTCATAGAAAATGATAAAATTAAACTGCTCTGGGACTTCAGAATTCAAACAGACAAGCACCTGCAACATAACACCCCAGACTTAACAACTGTCGATAAGAAAGACAAAAAAGTTTGGATAGTGGATGTGGCAGTGCCTGGAGATAGCAGAATAGAAGAGAAAGAACTGGAGAAGATAACAAAATACAAAGACCTACAAATAGAAATAGAAGACTGTGGCAAAAGCAAGCAAGGGTAGTACCAATAGTCATAGGCTCCTTGGGTGCAATCCCAAAACAACTGGAGCACCACTTGAAGACCATTAGCATTGACAAATTCGCTATTAGTCAATTGCAAAAGGCGGCCTTATTAGGAACTGCTTCCATCCTGCGATGATATCTGTAATACCATCAAACATCCACATCTGCCTATCCCAGGTCCTGGGTAAGGACTCGATAGGTAGACAAAATGCGAAATCCAGTCTGAACATCTGGCTGACTGTGCGATGATCCATAATAATAATAATAATAATAAAGTTGGAAGGGACCTTGGAGGTCATCTAGTCCAACCCCCTGCTCAGGCAGGAAATCCTATACCATTTCGGACAAATGGCTGTCCAGTCTCTTCTTAAAAACTTCCAGTGTTGGAGCATTCACCGCTTCTGGAGACAGGTTATTCCACTGGTTAATTGTTCTAACTGTGAGGAAGTTTTTCCTTAGTTCTAGGTTGCTTGACTAGTTTCCATCCGTTGCTTCTTGTCCTGCCTTCAGGCGCTTTGGAGAAGAGCTTGACTCCCTCTACTTTGTGACAGCCTCTGAGATATTGGAAGACTGCTATCATGTCCCCCCTCGTCCTTCTCTTCGTTAAACTAGACATACCCAATTCTAGCAACCGTTCCTTATATGTTTTAGCCTCCAGCCCCCTAATCATCTTTGTTGCTCTTCTCTGGACTCTTTCTAGAGTCTCAACATCTTTTTTATATCGTGGTGACCAGACCTGTATGCAGTATTCCAAGTGTGGCCTTACCAAAGCATTGTAAAGTGGTATAAATACTTCACCTTTTTGAAGAAAGTCCTTAATGTCAGCCAATGTCATGTTCATGCTAAGAAAGTTCCTGTGAGTGGGCGCTACAAAGCTCCTGAAAGATGGAATTGATGAGCAGTGGAAACAGACATCAGCCTTAATAGAAGATGAGCCACAAGAAAAATGACGTTGTCTCTTCTGCGGCTGACGTTCACAAGACTCGGCCAGTCCATCTACATATATTGGGTTTTCCGATCCGATTCCTTCTGTGCAAACGTGATGCTGACAATATTTACAAATCTTTCCACACAACCCTTCCTGACAAAGCTTTAAGTATGTTTGTCACATACAAGCTTCTTTGGCAGCAAAACAATGCATTCAAAAATATCTATGGAATATCTCGATTAGCCTGTCTTCTTGGCCTGGAGATGAATTGGATCCTCGTGGCAAAAATGCACTAAATCAGATTCCCAGCCAGACAGGTGTCTGTTTCAAAAGGAGGAACGCGTATGTTTGTACGAGCGATTTCAATCACCTGATCAGAATGATTGCTTCCAGCTTTACAATGAAGCCCATTTCTTTTCTTAAGACAAATCCGTTGCGTTCCTTTATGAACTAGAGGCACCACTTACCATCCATCAAAAGATGTTTTAATAACAGCATGACAGCACTTTCAATCAGGCAATGGGGCTGTTTTTCCCAGTCATTGCGTTTTTTGTTTGCTTGCTTTTCATATGTTTTATTTTATTTCAATCAGTCTTGTGGATTCCTTGAGCTGAGAATTGATGCTAAAATTGAACGTCCCAATGAATTCAATTTATGCTTTGGGGTTTTGTTTTGTTTTTAAGCACCACGTTTAATGCCTTGGAAGGTTTTGTGCTTTGCAAAGCAGGATGTCTCCTGCTCTTTAGCCCAGCACCAGCTTTGGCACCAGCCCAGGCTCCTGATTCTCTCCCATGTCTCATTCCTTGGCCGGCTTCCTCCAGCTGCTGGAGTCTGCAAACCTGGAAAGAGGCTCAGGACCTGCCCAGGACCTGTCTGGCTGTAGGGAAGCTACAAAGCCACAGAAATTTGGTTCTCCACATCGGCTCAAATCAAAGCTAACTCAGAACTCATCTGCTCGCTTCCTCAAGAGATGTGTAGAGCAGAGAGATGGGGACCTTGCTTGTTTTCTACCAAACAGTACATTCAAAAGGCTTTGCATGTTGCTGTTGTTGTTGTTAATTGCGAAGTCGTGTCCGACCCATCGTGATCCCACGGCCAACATTCCTCCAGGCCTTCCTGTCCTCTACCATCTTCTGGAGTCCATTTAAGCTCATGCCTAATGCTTCTGTGACTCCATCCAGCCACCTCATTCTCTGTCGTCCCCTTCTTCTCTTGCCCTCAATCTTTCCCAGCATTAGGCTCTTCTCCAGTGAGCCCTTCCTTCTCGTTAGGTGACCAAAGTACTTGAGTTTCAACTTCAGGATCTGGCCTTCTAAAGAGCAGTTGGGGTTGATCTCCTCTAGGACTGACCGGGTTGATCGCCTTGCAGTCCAGGGGACTCGCAGGAGTCTTCTCCAGCACCAGAGTTCAAAGGCCTCCATTCTTTGGCGCTCAGCCTTTCTTATGGTCCAACTTTCACAGCCATACATTGCAACTGGGAAAACCATGGCCTTGACTATATGTACTTTTGTTGGCAGGGTGATGTCTCTGCTTTTTTCCTCTTTATAGTCTTTGTAAAAGGATCAGGAGGACTCTAGCAGGGCCTGTTCCAACCCAAAGAGTCTGTGAAAAGGCAGCCGTTTCCCTGGGTTGTGACTTCCTAAATCTTCTTCTTTTGGCCCTCCTGTCCCACCTCTCTTGTGAGTGTTTTTGCATTAAACCCAACGCTCAACTTTTATCGTTGTAGGCTGTGGGGGGGTCTCCTCTTCCTCTGCAAGGCTCAAGCTTCTCAGACCTTCTGCCAGCTCCTCCAAAGGCCCAATTCCAACACCCCCCCCCATTTGCTACCTGGGAGCTCATCCTCTGGAGCCTCGCAGAATCCGTTGCAGCATTCTGCTCAATTGTTTGGTGGCGCAGCCAAAACCTTGCCAATTTCTACAAATGTACGAATTTCCTGCAACGCTTTACAGCGGATGGCGGCATCGTGGCTGTTATTTCCTCCTCTGCTAAATAGACATCTATTATTGTCAATTAAAGATGCTATTTTTAAGCTAGAGACACAGTCCGCTGTGAGGCAGAGAAGAAAAATGGGGAGAATTAAATGGGATTGCTGGGGAGTTTTCTAACATACTCAGCATTCCTTCTGTAGCTCCTGAACACAGGTCCCGTTCTTCTGGGAGGCTTTCAGCAAAGTCATTATTGGTTTATTTATTGCACTTTTACTCGATTTCTAGGCCTCATCTGCATGGTTAACCATCGACGATGTCACCGATCAAAAGTCCCCTCCCTCAAAGTCATAGAGAATTACTCATCCATCAATTAAATCTAATGCAGTATCAAAATTGTACAAAAAAGAAAACACGAGGGGGCACATGATAGCAGTTTTCCAATATCTCAGGGGCTGCCACAAAGTAGAGGGAGTCAAGCTATTCTCAAAAGCACCTGAAGGCAGGACAAGAAGCAACGGGTGGAAACTAATCCAGGAGAGAAGCAACATAGAACTAAGGAGAAACTTCCTGACAGTTAGAACAATTAACCAGTGGAACAACCTGCCTACAGAAGTGGTGAATGCTCCAACACTGGAAGTTTTTAAGAAGAGACTGGACAGCCATTTGTCCAAAATGGTACAGGGTTTCCTGCCTGAGCAGGGGGTTGGATTAGATGATCTCCAGGGTCCCTTCCAACTTTATTATATTTGTTGGAATATTCATGAACAGGAAGAGTCATGTGGTAACTCAGTCAGCCAATGTGAAGAAAGTGCTACTGAGTCTGTGCAAAAAGGTTATTGAGTTACGAGCTGGATTTCCAGTCTCAGTTTTGTCTCTGGTCTGTCTCTGTAAGAAGTCTTCATTAAGCTATGTTGCTGTAAAGAAGAATGGTATTGTAAATATTTTTATATAAATATAAAGTTATTTGAATCAGATAAATGCAGTCAGCTGTGAGAGCTTCTGATTTATTTTTTCACCAATAGAGAAATTAAAATTCTCTAACAGGTTATGGGCCCAGAGCTTACTAAGGACTGCACTGTAATTTAAAGCTGGAAGAAATTGCCTGTGTTTAGAAAGTATAAGAACAAGGCAGAATTAGCAGAATGGCTGCAATGGAATTTAAGGAAAGCTGTGTGCCTCGTTTGGGCCAGAAAAATTACATTGTGTGGGCTGCTAAAATGGAATGTTTGCTCAAAGCAAAAGAGCTGTGGTATATTGTAGAAAATCCAGCACAAGTGTTTGCAGCAGTTGATCAGAAAAGCCATGATACTGCACTAGCAGAACTGTGATTAAAGCAGACTAGGTGAGGGTTTTATTCTAACTCGCAGATACAGAAAAGACTCCTCCTCTTCCTCCTCCTTCTTCTCCTCCTCCTCCTCCTCCTCCTCTTTTTCTTCTTCTTCTTCTTCATCTTCTCCTCCTCCTCCTCCTCCTCTTCTTCTTCTTCTTCCTCTTCATCTTCTTCTCCTCCTCTTCCTCTTCTTCTTCTTCTTCTTCATCTTCTTCTTCTCCTCTTCTTCTTCTTCATCTTCTTCTTCTCCTCCTCCTCTTCTTCTTCTTCTTCATCTTCTTCTCCCCCTCCTCCTCCTCCTCCTCTTCTTCTTCTTCTTCTTCTTCTTCTTCTCCTCCTCCTCCTCCTCCTCCTCCTCCTCCTCTTCTTCTTCTTCTTCTTCTTCTTCTTCTTCTTCTCTTTCTTCTCCTTCTCCTCCTTCTCATTATTATTATTATGATTAGACATAAAAGCAGGCGTCTTCAAGGTTCCAAGCCTGTTACCACTACCTACCCTCCTTCTCTGTAAAGATTGGAGAGCCACGATTTCCCTCTTCTCTTGAGAGTTGAGCAGCTCGCTTCACGGTCCCACCAGGTGTATAAATGGGATCCGGAGTTCTTCCTCCAGACCTTGAATTGGGGCCAAGGTGGCCCTTCGGATAACCTGCTCTGGATCCAGGAAGGACCTTAAAGGGGGCAACAACAGCACCTTGAGTCTCACCTGGAAGCCAATCATCAATCCACACAGCTCTGGGACCTCTGGAGTGCACTGACCCCTCTCTGGGCTGCCACCTTTTGCACCGGCTGAAGCTCCTGCATGCTTCCCAGGGTCGGGGCGCCTCGCACACGGAGGTGGCCCGGGACGGGGGGGGGGGGTTGCAAGAGAGGTTCGGCAGAGACGGAGAGACAGAAGGCAGAGCCAGCCCGGCTTTTGCCCTCCTCCCCGGGCATCCCTCGCGAGCGCCGAGCCCTTTCAGGCCGAGCAGGATCCCCATCGTTCGCTGGGGCCTCGTCCGCCTGGCCGGGCTGCAGGGAGGCGGCGCGAGGGCGGCTCTCCCGCGGGGGCTGCGTGGCCCGGCTGCCCGGCAACCCAGCGGCGGCGGTGACATGGCGAGCAGGGCAGCTGGGGCGACGGAGCGAGAGCGGGGGAGCGGCCTGGTAGCGCTGCCGGTATGAGCCTGGTAGCGCTTCCCGGGCATCCTCCGGGTCGGGGGACGGGGCCGCAGGTCTAGGGCGCTGGAAGGCAGTCGGGCAGACCCGCCGCTCTCCTCGCCCGGGGCGGTTCCGCCGGGCTGGGTGCTGGCGGGGGTCGCCGTTTGATCCCCGAGCGGAGTTTGGGTCGCCTCTGCTCTGTCCCGCGCGAAGTTTCTGCCGTTCAGGACCTTCGCGCGGGACAGAGACGCTTCTCACTCAAATCTCTCTTTCTTCCTCCCCCCCTCCCACTTCGTGTATTCCAGGGGTAGGCAACCTTGCCTCTTTTATGACTCGTGGACTTCAACTCCCAGAATTCCAGAGCCAGCAGGGCTCAGCTTGGAAACCTCTCCCTTTCCCCTCAGCATGGCTGGCTCAGGAATTCTGGGAGTTGAAGTCCACCAGTCATAAAGCGGCCTAGGGCAGGGATAGGCAACCTTGGCTCTTTTTATGTCTCGTGGACTTCCAACTCCCAGAATTCCTGAGCCAGCCACGCTGAGGGGAAAGAGAGAGGTTTCCGTGCTGAGCCGTGCTGGCTCAGGAATTCTGGGAGTTGAAGTCCACGAGTCATAAAAAAGCCAAGGTGGCCTACCTCTGGCCTTAACCAAACGTCACCAGGCCTCCCTCGTGGGCAGAAGGCACCAAAGAGCCAGCAGCACCAGTGGGCAGAGAAGAAGAGGTTCTCTCTGGGAAACCCCCCCAGGGAGGAAAGAGAGAAGGGAGGGAAGGAAGGAAGGAGGGAGGGAGAAAGCCAAGAGAAGAGAAGGCCAAGAACTGGCCAGGTGCCTGGCGCCCACATTCATGCTGGCTTTCCCCACAAGCCAAAGTCTGTTGGCAGGTGTGGGTAGCCTAACTGGCTAAGGAGATGGTGCCAAGGGCGAAGTCAGCGACGGGAAGACTGGCTGTCCTCAAAGATGCCACAGAATACACCAGGGGTAGGCAACTTTGGCTCTTTTAGGACTCGTGGACTTCAACTCCCAGAATTCCTGAGCCAGCCATGCTGAGGGGAAAGGGAGAGGTTTCCAAGCTGAGCCGTGCTGGCTCAGGAATTCTGGGAGTTGAAGTCCACGAGTCATCAAAGGGTCAAGGTTGCCTACCCTGGATTAGGTGGAACCAACAGGCCCAAAATCCCTAGAGTGCTTCTGTGGATAATGAGGGGGGTGTCTTTTCACTCCGCCCCAGACCTTGCTTATTAGGAAATCCCAGGGCTGTGGAGTAGATGTATATGGGGGAGGGGGGGGGAGGGAGAGAAAGCTTTTTGAGGAAAGCAACGGAAAGTAGCTACAGTAGACATGTCTGAAAGCAGCCATGTAGAAATACCCCAATAGGTAGGAGTGGAGACTGCATTGTATTCAGACAGTGGGGGGATGATGGGGACTGTAGTCTGACCCACCTGGAGAGGATTGGTCTATACCAGGGGTAGGCAACTTTGGCTCTTTTATGACTGGTGGACTTCAACTCCCAGAATTCCTGAGCCAGCCTGGCTCAGCTTGGAAACCTCTCCCTTTCCCCTCAGCATGGCTGGCTCAGGAATTCTGGGAGTTGAAGTCCACAAATCCTAAAAGAGCCAAGGTTGCCTACCCCTGGTGTATTCTGTGGCATCTTTGTGGACAGCCAGTCTTCCCGTGGCTGACTTCGGCCTTGGCACCATCTCCTTAGCCAGTTAGGCTACCCATACCTGCCAGCAGATTTGGGTGGAAGAGGATATAAACAAACCAACAAACCAACAGCTCCCTGTTTTTGATTCTGATATGTTGAGAGGTGTGGATAGAATTTTCATAAAAGTTAGCAAAAAACGATACCAAAAACTACCATAACAAAACGCTTGCCTCTTTGTAACTGGGGGCCTCCTTGTAATTTCTCACGTTTTACATCCTCATTTGCTTGATTGCAGGAGGGACAACATCTGTTGCCAAAGGTCTGGCCCGGGCCTGTAGGGTGTGTCTGAAATTTGCTCAAGGGCCAGTGGTGACCTAGCAAAAATAAGAATTTCTGCTTTGCTGCATTGAATTGTATTTTTTTTTTTTTTTTTAAAATCAGTTGCAAAGGCAAAGCCAATTATTCTTCTCTTATCTGTCTGCCCCTCTTCTAAATCAAGTAAATTGGTGTTGACAGTTGCCATTGTTTTTCTTTATGCCCTAATTTTTAAAAAATCCTTGCAATTGAATGTCTTGCTTGTGTGTGGGTGCTATTGTACTGTAATTCTTTTTGTTTCGCTGTAGGATGAAGACAAAATTAATAAAGATGATGAAGCCATGGCTTGGAAACTTCTCTCACTTGCTGAGGTTAGCATTATGTTGGAACAAGACATAGCAGGAGTTGAGAAGTAAGTTTGATGGGACATCGACAGATCTTGCCCTGCCCATCATCTGCTGAGGCAGCAGCGAGTTGGTTTGCACATGGAGTGTGTCTGTGTGTGAGGGGAACAACCCTGTGGCCTGGGCTCTTGTGATGTGTGTGTGTTCTTCCTTTTTAAAAAGAGGTGGAGCTTCTGTGTCATTTTTCACTAGGGACAAAATCACATTCCTCAACATGTCACAGACTGTGTGGACCTGCCCCTCGGTTTCCAAGTCAGTCTCAAGAGGCCCAGATCGTGGCTGGGGGGTCTTAAGAGGAGACCATTTTGTGATCCCATCTAAGTGATGCTCAGGAGGAGTCATGCAAACAAAGCTTCTTTTATTTGCACCGTCCGATGTTCCAATATATTTTCTTGGTCAGGCCAACTCATAATGAAATGTGAATGGGTTTAAATCCAATGAAACAAAGTTTACATTTTAAAGACCTACAAACCAGGGGTCTTCAAACTTGGCAACTTTAAGACTTGTGAACTTCAACTCCCAGAATTCCTCAGCCAGCCCTGGCTGGCTGGCTGGCTGAGGAATTCTGGGAGTTGAAGTCTACAAGTCTTAAAAGTTGCCAAGTTTGAAGACCCCTGTTCTAGACCATAAGCTGTGAATGTCATTACTATCGTTTTTGAAAATATCATTTAATTTTTAGTACAAATACAATGCAGATTTAGTTTTGGACACTGACTCTGCCTAGCTGTGGCGTTAAAATATTTTCAAAAATTCCACATTTCTGCAGTCAGAAAAATCCATGTGGGGAAAACTGGTCCTCCAAAAGCATCTTAAATTTAAACGGTTAAGTTTCTAGCCTTGGTTTTTATTCTGTTCATTCCTGGATTTGCAAATATTTGTCTTATTGAATGGGCACAATTACACAGAGGGGGTCTGCTTTTGTGTTCTGATGTTCTGATATTTTTCAACTGCAGGAGTCTGGAAGAGTTTCTGAATCTGAAGCACCGACTGACTAATTTGAAGGAAGCTGCATTACTGGATTATTATGTCTCTGGATTTTGGTGGGCCAAAGGATTAGACTTCTCATCTGTGCAGATTGGAGGGTTCTTGACTCTCTTGAATTTGTTGCTGGATAATCTGGAGAGTAAGTTCAGCCACATCCTATGAATGTACTCATTCTCCTTTGGATTATTGTATGTAAGAGGGGCAGAGTTATTTGGGAATGTCCCTGCCCCCCCCCAAAATTGTAATTTTATCCTGAAAGGACAATGTAATAATAATAATAATAATAATAATAATAATAATAATAATAATAATAATAATAATAATAATAAAGTTGGAAGGGACCTTGGAGGTCATCTAGTCCAACCCCCTGCTCAGGCAGGAAACCTATACCGTTTCAGACAAATGGCTGTCCAGTCTCTTCTTGAAAACTTCCAGTGTTGGAGCATTTACTGCTTCTGGAGGGAAGGTTGTTCCACTGGTTAATTGTTCTCACTGTCAGGAAGTTTCTCCTTAGTTCCAGGTTGCTTCTCTCCTTGATTAGTTTCCATCCATTGCTTATTTATTATATATATGCTTATATATTATATAAATATGCTTATTTATTCCCTGTATTTTTATGCCATTTTTTTATGCCAAGACATTTCAAAGCTGTTTATGACAACGAACTCTAGAAATAGATTAGGACTGTTGGGCTCCATATACTTTTCCCTGGGTGGGGTCTGGTGGAAGTTCCCACCCCCACCCCTTTTGTATTTGTAACAATGGGAGCGGTCTACAACCATACTAAATGAGTAATAGCCCTGTCCTCAAAGCACACCTCCACCAGTGCCCCTCCCCCGGGAAGTGGGGAGTTTAAATAGGAGTCTTTTGAGTCCTCAGAAGCTGCTCACATCTACGCCAAATCATGGCTTAACCTCTGAACCTGGCCACAAACATGGTTTGATTACAGCTGGCATTCCAGCACATGAACCCAATTAACATGGATTTGGAAACCACAGTTTGTGCTGGCCTTTGTTTGCTCTTGTATCTTAAATTATCTTGCCCCAAAAATGCCAGAAGCAGAGAGATGGATCTAACCCGGTTGCTGCTGAGATATTTCAGAGCTCAAACAGACACAGATTCTTATCCGAGGTTAGTTCAGCCCCTGGGGCCGGGCAGTTTCTGAAGCTGCAGAGTGCCTTCCCTGGACCCCCTTGCCTGCTCAGGGGAGCAATACTTACCCCATCAGCAAGCACTCTGTTTGCCCTCCTGCTTGGCAAATACCAGGCGTGTTGATTTCTCTTCTGGGATTCGAGCAAAAACAAAGCCAGAATTGCATGACAGGAATCAGCCAGCCTTTGACAAAGGCAGCTTGGCATCGCATTATAGTAAAAACCAATATTTCTCGTAGAAGAGAGAGTTTGTCTAGCCTAGGAAGAAATTTGTGACAAGGCACTTTGGCACTTGAACTGAAAACTCTCCAGCATTTTAGGAGTTCTCTGGAGTGTTTTATCTTTTGCAGAGAAGCCCATCTGGAGCTATGGAGAAACAATCAAAATCACTCTGCTGAATGTTTTCCAAGAAAAGGGTTATTACAATCTGTCTAAAATTAGCTGTATTTTAAAAGTGACATTTGTATAACTTTGCTAATATACGAACCTCAGCCTTATCTGTAATATAATGGAAAGTGTCAGAGCATCTGGGTCAGCTAGAAGGGAAAGGGTGTTGTGCCTGTATCATGTTCCATCTTCCAATTTATCTAACGAACCGGGAGGGATTAAAACATCTTTCAGCAGATGCTGAACGCTTAAGACTCAAAAGAAGATCACTGTGTGCCCATTAGGGTAAAGAACTTGGACATCTCTGCTTGTGCACATCTGCTTTCTATCCTGAGAATTTGCTTTAAAATTCACTTACTAAAACATCATTCTTACGTCGCCATTGTATATATCTATTTAAACTGAACGAACAAATCCAAGCAATTAAAGATTGGCTCCTCAGCTCTTGGCTGAGGTCAGGCTGCTGCTGCATTAGATCTAACATCTCCCAACCTACTTGGAGGTGGGCCAGGGCAGGCCAGCCCCTTTTGCCCCACAGCCCGTGCAGAGGATAAATTGGCCTTTCCAGTGAACAGGGCCCCTTGTTTGACTATCACAAGAACATCTGATACCCAGAGCATCTCACCTATAGAGATAAACAAGGACTGAGAAGTCCTGTGAAATCTGGAAGGAGGTCCAGTCAAAGGTTAAATGTCCTTTGTATAAACATGTCCACATCATAGAATCTTAGGGCTGGAGGAGATTTTGGAAGTTCTTCTCTCCATCGTCCTGCCTAGTGCAGGAACCCTCGGACCCGTGCAGACAAATGGTGGCTCAATCTTTTCTTGAAAACTGTTTCGAGTCATTTCAGCTGAAAATCTCATGCTTGGAGTCCACCACCACGATCTGCACCAGTGAGGAAGCGCAGAGCTTAAATCTTGAGTCCCTGTCCACTACCTGGGACAGTTTGGAGGCCGGGCAATTCATACCCCTCCTAGCCAGTCTGCTGGAAATAACCCTCCCCTGGTTCCAGCTTGGCCAAGGTCTGCTCCTTCTTTTTGAGCAGCCTCAAAACATAAACATGGCAGTAAGCATAGGAATGTCCCAGCGTGTTTGGGAGCCTTTTCCTGATAAGCCACACCCTCCACTATCACTTTATGTTTATGTTATGTATGCAAATCCCAGTTGCAATGTACGGCTGTGAAACTTGGACCATGAGAAAGGCTGAGCGCCAAAGAATGGAGGCCTTTGAACTATGGTGCAAAATAATATGATAGACTTGTGCAGGGGGAAGAAAATTCTATGGCAAACCATTGATGAAGCCCTCTCTTTGTGAACCCACTCTCCATCACCAGAGTTAGAATAACTTATATGTATACAGTAGTACTGTTCAGACATTTAAAAAAAAACCCTACTGATTCTAACACTTGTGGATGCACAACTACAAATGGCCACCAGAGGGCAGAGAATAACTACAGTAGAATTTTCTGTGTCTATTTGCTGCCCTCTACTGGTCTCCTAAAGCAGAGACCCTGCCAACAAAAGGACGCATAGTCAAGGCCATGGTTTTCCCAGTTGCAATGTATGGCTGTGAAAGTTGGACCATAAGAAAGGCTGAGCACCAAAGAATGGAGGCCTTTGAACTATGGGGCTGGAGAAGACTCCTGCGAGTCCCCTGGACTGCAAGGCGATCAAACCGGTCAGTCCTAGAGGAGATCAACCCGACTGCTCTTTAGAAGGCCAGATCCTGAAGTTGAAACTCAAGTACTTTGGCCACCTAATGATAAGGAAGGACTCCCTGGAGAAGAGCCTAATGCTGGGAAAGATGGAGGGCAAGAGAAGAAGGGGACGACAGAGAATGAGGTGGCTGGATGGAGTCACAGAAGCAGTAGGCGTGAGCTTAAATGGACTCCAGAAGATGGTAGAGGACAGGAAGGCCTGGAGGAACGCTGTCCATGGGGTCGCGATGGGTTGGACACGACTTCGCAACTAACAATAACAACAAATTCTATTCTATTCTATTCTATTCTATTCTATTCTATTCTATTCTATTCTACTCTACTCTACTCTGTTCTATTGGGAAAGATTGAGGGCAAGAGAAGAAAGGGACGACAGAGAATGAGGTGGAGGTGTGAGCTTAAATGGACTCCAGGAGGTGTGAAGCTTAAATGGACTCCAGAAGATGGTAGAGGACAGGAAGGCCTGGAGAAACGTTGTCCATGGGGTCGCGATGGGTCGCACACAACTTCGCAACTAACAACAACAACAACAACATGCAAAGCCTTTTCTTTAATGTGCACGTTAGTTTTCACCTGATCCATAGTCTGGAAGCCAATGCATGTGTACAGAAGGCTTTTCTTCTGAGTGGGCTTGCTGGAGTCAGAAGAACTCTGCACACTGCAGCCGCATGGAACCGCAGGTGCTCACTCCTCTTCCCCTTGCATTGCAGCCTATCACATGACCCTGGAAGAGAACATCCAGGAACTTGCCAGCGCCATGGCTGGCATCGGGCTGAGCAATTCGGAGATAAGCAGCGGGTTTGAGTTCTTCACCATAGATCAAGCCAAAGCCATCATCAATTACGTGAAGAGCAGGTAAGACTTCCTCATCCTTTAGCCTTGCTGGGAGGAGGTGACCCTTCAGTGCTGGTTGGGCCTTAAAAAGTTGGGGGAGGGGTCCCTTGTGTTGTTTTCATAAAGGAATCTGCTTTGGGTGTTGACTGTGGGTGGCCCTTTGAACCCCCAGTAATTACACTAACAAAATAAATTGATTATTAGTTGCTAAGTTGATGGCATTAATTCTCATAATGTGAAACTAGACAGCCTTCAGTGGGTAATGGATCAATTACTCAATTAATCATTAAGGTTTTAATAAATTGGATAAGTGGTTAAATGTTTATGTGTGGCTTACCCTAACATTTCTCATGCAAACATGACGCTTTTTTAAAAAAGATATTTTGAGGGCGCATATTTGGGTTGATACTATGAAACCGGCACCTTTTATGTTTACAGGGGTGGGCAATCTTGGCTCTTTTATGAGTTGTGGGCTTCAACTCCCAGAATTCCTGAGCTGGCACAGCTCAGCTTGGAAACCTCTCCCTTTCCCCTCAGCGTGGCTGGCTCAGGAATTCTGGGAGTTGAAGACCACAAGTCATGAAGGGGCCATAGTTCCCCCATGCTGGCTCAGGAATTCTGGGAGCTGAAGTCCACAGGAGTGTAGTTGCCCACCCCTGGTTTTGGTATAGATCAGGGCTAGGCAACCTTGGCTCTTTTATGACTCGTGGACTTCAACTCACAGAATTCCTTGCCGGCACAGCTCAGCTTGGAAACCTCTCCCTTTCCCCTCAGCGTGGCTGGCTCAGGAATTCTGGGAGTTGAAGTCCACGAGTCATAAAAGAGCCAAGGCTGCCTACCCCTGGCCTAGATGGGAGGAAGCCCTATTTTGTTTCTCTTCCTCAAAGGTGGAGGGGGGGTCAGCTAGATGGCCTGAGTTGGATGCTTCCTGGACCCCCAACAGAAGCGAAGACCCTTCCCTGCCCTTTGCCTTGGATAAATGGAAGTGTTTATTGGCTTTTAAATGGTAGAAGACGTCTGGCCCTGTGGGACTGTCCGCCAATTTTCAAAGCAGAAGCCAATGTCAGAAAATGAAATGAAGAAGAATCTGCTTCCCGTCCTCTGGGAGCTTTGAAAATGGAGAGGACATTTGAGCTCGCCTGGGTCCTTCCACTCTCAGCGCAGGTCTTTGCTAGCGCAGAAACAGCAGGATTCTTCAACAGGAAGATGTCTTGATCTGTTTCCAGCGATGGAGTTTGGGTTTTTGTTTTCCCAAGAATATTCAGAATTTCTTGTTCCCTCTAGTTCTGGTGATTTTTTTTTTTTGTTGTTGTTGAAAGGAAAAAAGAGAGAAATGCCCACTTTCCAGGACAGGTGAGGCCAGGGCAGTGATTGGTAACTGTCTCTCTCCCCCACCACCACCACCACCACTTTACAGTAGTGGCCAAAATTGTGGAAACCTTTTGGGGAAAGTGTACAGTAGAAATGCCACCTTTGGTTAAGTTTCCACCCATTTTTCTTCTAATTTCTTTATAACTGTAGCCTTGTTCACTTCATAATACGATTTTACATTGCTTTCTGGGTGACCAGTCAACTCTTTGCACCGTGACTTTAATTTTATCATGTTTTACAAGCTCACTCAATGAAAGAACACAAAAAAATCCCAACCGACTGGATAGCGATCACATAACACACTGACCAATGTCCTCCTCTCAGCTTCAATACAGGACATCAATCACTGAACCCTACTGTGATCTGATTGGCTCATTGCCAAAACAAGATGACACCCGATTGGCTCTCTAAACACTCATGCTCATTGGCTGCAGTCAGATAAAGGAAAGCTACCTGAGATCAACCTAAGCAAGTTGTGCTTCCTTTTTCTGGTTATTTGGCTATAACTTTTCATAGAATACAGTACAGATAATTGAACAAACTATGTTGCATTATGTTCTTGATTAAATTATCTTTCCATTGATATATAATTTTAGGGTACTACTCCAGGAAAAAAAAAGTGGTGCTATTAGCCATCAAACCTCAAGAATACACTTTTCCCAAAAGGTTTCCACAATTTTGGCCACTACTGTAGTTCCCTTTGTATCAGCTGCAGTAACGCCAACATCAGCCTCTTTGATGACATTTTCTTCCAGAAAACAGTCAAATGAGGAAGGTCCATCTGCATTAATCACTTTCAGATGCTTACATGGTTGTCGCGAAAAAGCCTGTCTTGTTGTTTTGTTCACATCTGCAATCCTTTGTCCTGTTGTGCCAAAAGCTTCTCCCTCCACGGCAGTCCAAATGCACGTCAAGTACATTCCTTGTCTGACCAAAAGGTAGATCTGTTTATATCAGGTTACCTAAGCTGCCTCATTCCTTAGCTGGATGATCAGCCTAGATTCAGAGGGGAGAAGGGCAGTCATCTGTTGGCAGAAAGCCCAGATCCCAAGGCCATCCTGACGGGATCAACCCAGATCCACCAGAGCCAGCAAAACCTGACTGACAAAAGGAGGTCAAGTTGCTTCTGAGGCCTTGGCGCCTTCGCAGATGGCCCTGCTCCGTCCCAAAGTTCTCACTACAATGCATTTGTTCTTATGCCTTCCCTCCAAGGTGACGTGCCCTCTTGCTTTCCGCCATCGCAACAACAACTTTGTGAATCAGATCACAAATCACAGCTATACAATTCCGTTGCAGATTTAGTTCTTCGTTTAGTGGGAATTATTAACTCACTGCAGGATTTTATAACAGTGAATGAGAGAGAGAAAAAAAACCTGGTTTTGGATTATGAAATTTAGCTAAAGCTTTAGGGCCTTAGTTTCTGCAGTTAAAGAACCTTTTTTTAGAAGCAACGTGAACCCTGAATGCTCCTAGAAATTTATTGCTTTCAGAATCCACTTTCTTGTCTTTCAGCTTATTCCAACATTATACATTGTACGAGTATCTTTTCCACAGTCCCAGGGAAGAACTGGTGACTGGAGATGAGGTAAGTAATTTGCAGGACTGGAAATGATTAAGTGGGATGTTTTAATGCATATTCTCTGGCATCTGTTTTCTATAGCTCAAAGCAACATTATGTCAAAAACGCTCAAGGTTTAAAAGTATAGAATGGCGCATTAAAAGAATAAAAGGGAATATAGGAAGGCCGGTCTCCTTTGGAATTTGAAATTAACAAGAATAAATGATGCCATTGTTGCTTTGGCTGCTGGCTGTAGCTTTAAGCATGTGTTTGCTGACAGTATTTGTAAGAGTAACACACCCCGTTGCTAGGTCTAGTTATGGTAGATAATGAAGAATGGGACTAAGCAGTGCCCTTCGCATTGACTGGGGGGAGGGCAGCCCAAGGGACAAGGAAGTGGGTGCTCAAAGCAATGGGATTGTGCTGAGACCCAACTATAATAATAATAATGATGATGATGATGATGGAAGGGACCTTGGAGGTCATCAAGTCCAATCCCCTGCTCAGGCAGGAAACCCTACAGCATTTCAGACAAATGGCTGTCCAGTCTCTTCTTAAAAACTTCCAGTGTTAGAGCATTCACCGCTTCTAGAGGCAGGTTGTTCCACTGGTTAATTGTTCTAACTGTCAGGAAGTTTCTCCTTAGTTCTAGGTTGCTTCTCTCTTTGATTAGTTTCCATCTGTTGGTTCTTGTACTGCCTTCGGGCGCTTTGGAGAATAACTTGACTCCCTCTTCTTTGTGGCAGCCCCTGAGAGATTGGAACACTGCTGTCATATCCCCCCTCGTCCTTCTCTTCGTTAAACTAGACATACCCAATTCCAGCAACCGTTCCTCATATGTTTTAGCTTCCAGTCCCCTAATCATCTTTGTTGCTCTTCTCTGTGCTCTTTCTAGAGTCTCAGCATTTTTTTTACATCGTGGTGACCAAAACTGGATGCAGTATTCCAAGTGTGGCCTTACCAAGGCATTGTAAAGTGGTATTAATACTTCACGTGATCTTGATTCTATCCCTCTGTTAATGCAGCCCAGCACTGAGTTGGCTTTTTTGGCAGCTGCAGCACACGGCTGGCTCATATTTAAGTGATTCTCACAAGGAGAATTCAGCAGGCATTTTGCAAACCTTTGCTGAACTTCTGCTTCTCTCCAATCATCTGCTCTTTGCTGCATTTTTAATGTAGAATCTGACGTTTTATTTTGATCTTTGTAGGAAATCTGTTGTATGTGTTAGCCCAGTGGATTATTCACTTGGGCTGTGAGTCTGACAATAATATGGGTCTCATTTCTGTGTGACTATGCACAAAAATTGTACTGCATTAAGACAACGTAACACAGACATATCAAACTCGTGACTTCATGTGACATTGCGCAACGTATCGGGCCGGTTTTGCCATTTATTTATTTATGAGACTTATATACCGCTTTAAGTGCAAGCACTCTCTAAGCGGTGTACACCAGTAAGCAATGTATATATATATTTACATTGCCCCCAACAATCTGGGTCCTCATTTTACCTACCCCGGAAGGATGGAAGGCTGAGTCAACCTTGAGCCGGTGAGATTTGAACCGCTGACCTGCTGAACACAGTCAGCTAAAGTGGCCTGCAGTACTGCACTCTAACTGCTGTGCCACCTCGGCTCTTTTTGCCGGCAAGGGGTGGGCGGAGCTTCCACGTGACGCATCCGGCCTGCGGGCCGGCAGGTTAACACCCCTGATGTAACAGAAATATCCTTAACTCAAGCTGCATGAACCTTGGCAATCGGCGATCAACTGATTTAATTTATTTATCATTTTAACGGGGTCACTGTTTATGTATCCGGGGAGCTGAATTCAGCAACGTATCAGACTCAGGAATGACTCCTGCCTCCTTTAGTCAATAGCTGCATAAAAGTTTTCATTATTATCAGCCATGTTGGCAAGGGGAGGGGTCCTAATTTATTTTAGCGACTGTGATTGTCTGCCTTTTATACAGCTGGGGGGGACACGTAGAAATGCAACTTTGTGGGTGACGCGGCCCCACAGTTCTTTGAGGAAACAAGGCAAAAGTGTTTTGGACCTATTTTTTCTTTGAAATAAGTCTTAGTAACGTGGCATGGTTGGCAAATGTAGTTTTATCTCTCTGGGCTTCCATCAGCATGATGGAATAATCTGTGTTTTATGACCCAGCTGACTGGATGTGTGTTCGGTGACCCAGCTGCGAGACCCCTGGTTCAGCCTCTGCCGGAGGAATTTATGGGCCTCGCAAAGCTTGCCAGAGTGTTATACTCTGTGTTTAGACATGGTGTAGATTCTGATCTTGTTTTCTCTCTCTCTCTCTCTCTCTCTCTCTCCCTATAACACACACATGTATTATTAAATGTGTTCTGCATAAAACGTATAGTCATCTGCTGGAGTTCAGTTTGCAAAACAGAAACTATTTACATTAACTTAATGCTCTCCTCCATGTTCAGATACTTGGGCTGCTTCCAAATTGGGCTTCATTTCCTTTGGACAGAGTGACTTATTTGTGATGGGGAAAGATGGGCTTTTCCCCCTCTCTTTCGGGCGGCACCGAAGGGGGCAGAATTATTAAAGGGAAAAGCTCATTTTAAAATTATGGAATTTGGTTCCCTGAGAGAATTTTGCTGCTCGTATCACACCACCACCACCACCAAATGTTGCTTTCAGTCAGTTTCCTTCCTTCCTGGTTCATGGACAATTTTGATTCAGTTTTTCAGCTGTCTGTTACTAGAGTCACATTTTGCTGAATTAAACGGTCTCGTTTTTAGAGCCAAGTTTTAGAGTTTTGAAGGATTATCTGCTTACAAAACTGTTCTTTTTGGTTTTCTTTCTTTTTCCTTTTTGGAGAAACATAATATTATTAATATAAGCTACAAACAGAAATATAAATGTTGATTTCTTTTTTTTTTCCCAAGTGCCTTATGAGTGCAATATGGTTTCAATTAACGGAGTTAAAAGTTCATCTATAGTTTAACATTAAAGAAAAATGAAATAAAAGAGAAACCTGCTTGGGATTTTGCTCCTTGGGCAAAACGTCTCCAGAAAACTTGACAGGAGTGCTCAAAAGTCCTTTTCTTGAACCCTCTGTTGAAAAAAAAAAAAGAATTATTCAGATGTTGATAAATGATCAAGTTTCTCTTTTCTTGTTGTATCATAATTATTTGAGCTCACTTTGATCATGATACCACTGAGAATGTAATCCAGAAAAAAACAGTTGTTTTTCTGCATCAGTTGCTATCCTCACCATGATCCATAAGCAGGAGGGAACCAGCCAACACAGATCGTCAGTATTTCATCCAGAGATGCAACAGGCAGATGAATTAGCTTCATCAAACGTGACTGACTCTAGGTTTAAGCAATAGTGGCCGGCCAAGAAGACAGGTCCGGTCAGCAAGAAGACAAAGATGAGGGGATCCTGGGACTGCAGGCCTGAGAGCCTCGTGGAACAGTTGCTGGAATTGGATATGTCTAGTTTAATGAAAAGAAGGACGAGGGGGGACATGATAGCAGTCTTCCAGTATCTCAGGGGCTGCCCCAAAGAGGAGGGAGTCAAGCTATTCTCCAAAGCGCCTGAAGGCAGGACGAGGAGCAACGGATGGAAACTAATCAAGAAGAGAAGCAACCTAGAACTAAGGAGAAACTTCCTGACAGTTAGAACAATTAACCAGTGGAACAACCTGCCTCCAGAAGCGGTGAATGCTCCAACACTGGAAGTTTTTAAGAAGAGACTGGACAGCCATTTGTCTGAAATGGTATAGGGTTTCCTGCCTGAGCAGGCGGTTGGACTAGATGACCTCCAAGATCCCTTCAAACTTTATTATTATTATTATTGATCATCGCACAGTCAGCCAGATGTTCAGACTGGATTTGGCATTTTTGTCTCCCTATCGAGTCCTTACCCAGGACCTGGGATAGGCAGATGTGGATGTTTGATGATATTACAGATATCATCGCAGGATGGAAGCAGTTCCTAGTAAGGCCGCCTTTTGTAATTGACCAATGGCGAATTTGTCAATGCCAGTGGTGTTCAAGTGGTGCTCCAGTTGTTTTGGAATTGCACACAAGGCGCCTATGACTATTGGTACTACCCTTGCTTGCTTTTGCCACAGTCTTTCTATTTCTGTTTGTAGCTCTTTGTATTTTGTTATCTTCTCCAGTTCTTTCTCATCTATTCTGCTGTCTCCAGGCACTGCCACATCCACTATCCAGACTTTTTTGTCTTCCTTATCGACATATTATTATTGTTGTTGTTTGGCCAGAAGATGGACTGAAACAGTCATGATGGAGGGCAGGCGAAGGAGATATGAAGGATCTGGTCAAGTTGTTTTGGCCCCTGAGTCCAAAAAGATCATTCAAATGCTGCTTTTTTTCCTGAAGATGAAATACAACGTAATAACAAATATTTCCCTGTTACTTTATGTTGCCCCTGAGTAGTAATGGAACCAGTAGGGCATCACCTGAGGAAACTCTCTGATTGGCCAGCTGGCCCAGTCTCTGAGATGGAACAAAATAAGAGGAAGAATTAAAAGGGAAAACTCCAAGAAGTGATTGCAACACAGCAGAGTATAGAAAGCAAAACGTGGGCACCAATTTTGGCGTCCCCAAGAGAAACCAGTAAATATTGGGGCAATCTGAATCTTGGCTCCAATCACAGAGGAAGGAGAAGTTGGACTCTTATGAAGTGGCTTCAAGAGCCAGTTGACAGAGTACTGAGCTTATGAGAGGAGCCCAGAAGGAAAACTGCTTCTGGTATTATGGGAAAATGAAAACCGCTGACCCATTAAGAGCGTTCAGCCAAGAAAATCCAATGTTGATGGTAAATATCGTCGCCACCCAATTGCCTAAGTGGTGGTCCTGTGCATAAGTAGCCGTGGACAGATCGCACTGAAGTCAGGCTGACCTTTTGCTCTGCAAGCAACGATGGAGGCCCTCTCTTTAGCCAAGCAATAGCAGTCTGAAGGCTGCTTTTTGGCTCAGATCACAAACACCTTCTGAGACAAACAAAAGGAAATCACTCGATCAGCAAGTT